TATTAGACCTATTTAAGTAGCACGATTACTGAATTGAACGGGTTTATTGTAACAGGATCAGATTTATTTAGTAAAAATAATTAGTAACAATTATTAATTAAAATAATTATCAAGGCATCACCTTGAAAATAACAATGTTAGACTTTTTACCAACATGGTCTTGTCTCTAAGCGCATCGCATAATCTTCTCACCTTAAATAGGGTGGAAAATCTCAAAAATGTTTGATTTCAGGTGTTAACTTTGTTCATTGTTATGGCCAAAATGTCAGCCTCAGATATTACCTAAACATATTACAATGTACAGACTGATATTGCCGTAGATATCGTCCTAGGATCATTTTCAATCTACCGATAGAATCTGCTTATTAGAAGCACATGACGTCACTACGAATAAGCAATCGTTCCTGAGTGACGTAATGGTGATATCCTCGCATCATTTCTTCGAATGATTCCCATATTTCTCATATCCAATATAGAATTTTATAATTAGAATAATTATCATTGTAATTAAGATTATTGTTATTGTTGACGCTGTTGTTGTTTTGTTTATTGTTATTATTATAATTATTATTTTATTGGTAAATCATCTTGCTATTCCCCGGTACCTTAACTGATGGCATACTTCGATTATTTATGGGTTTTTTTAATATGTTTATACGTTTTATTATATCTCTATTATCATCTGTTGATTATTTAATATTAATCAGTAAGTAGTATAATAATTATTATTGTAATTAACAGATTATGTTATTGTTGGCGTTGTTGTTGTGTTTATTGTTATTATTATTATAATTATTATTTTATACTTCAGTATTTTATACTTCGATTATTTATTTTTTTATATTTATACGCTGTACTATATCTCTATTATCATCTGTTGATAATTTGATATTAATCAGCAAGGGGTAACCTAATAAACATTTCTCATTCATCGTACGCGTTGTAAGTCGAATATTGGATTGTATTGGATTGGATTGCGCAGTTGGTGGATAGCAGCGCTATAACATTATCAGTATTAGTAATTGTAATGTTAAGTTAATAACTGTGGACATAATTCCACAATATAATTAAGTGTTTCATTCGAAAGGTAAACAATTCAGAAGGTTATCGGAAATTAAAAGGTCTGAGTCGATTGCGGTGTTAACGGTGAATGCTCGAAAGCGTTACCAATTCAGATTAATTCACGATAATTCTTGTAAATACCTACCGTACTTGAAATGATTATCAACATCATCTCGAATTCGAGTCCATAGCAAACATGTTTTTATTACCAATATCTTGTACACGTTTTACTCGTTTCAAATACGGATTGTTTATTTGCACTTGCATAGGCCTACCTTCTTATAGTAAAAATTACAATACAGAACAGACAAATAGTATAATTATAGTTAACAGTGTGGCCATATCTACAGGTATCGAGGTATACACATTTTCATATCATAGACCGTTACAAAAATCTACAGGTAGTACGTATACGAACATTTTATATATTGGCGTCACAGGAATTTTCGATCACATCTTCGCCAGAGAGTTCGGCCTACGAACGTATATGAAATTTGGCACTCGTCAGAACAAATCAAGTTCCACCCCACCTCACACCCGGTTGCTAAACCTATTCATTATAAAATTATGCAGTGGGATGGAGGAAAACGTTCGGTGGGCCAAAATCTCTGTGACACCCGATCTTTAATTTTGAAAAGATATACCGTACCGTATGTTATACAGACATCAGCACTGTGTTATGTGATATACCGTATACGAGTACTGTGTTTTAGGACTCACAATTTTCTTAAATATTCAAATATCCATTTGTAGTGCAGCTGGCTAAAACTGGGGGGGGGGGGGTAACTACTGTGTGAGGGCAGCAGCGGTCTTTGTGTTGTAGTTCTATCTATGCCATAAATCGACTTTCCCTGTTAAATACATGTTATACCGTCATTTAAAATAGACTATTAGCACCTTGGTCGAGTGTTTAACGTGTAGGCCTATAACACAGGACAACGGTGCAAGTGTCAGCGTTGTGGCTACACGGTCCCCTCTAGGGCCCCAGCCCGAATATTTCAGATACTATGGGAGAAAGCTTTATCAACATCATCATCAACATCATCATCATATTTATCGTTTATTATTGTTATCATTAACGTCAAAACGGTTAAATATTTAAATTATCTTAAATTAATAACAAATTTAACTCTTCATCCCTGGTAATCCCTTATTCTGCTGCTATTCAGGGGTAACGCCAGTATTTGCTACGGGGTGGGGGTGGGGAGGGTGGAGTTGGCGATGTCCCCGACGCAAACTGGCGTTGTTGGACGTCGCTCAAAACTTTCCAAAGTGGACAATTTAGGAATTTCAAATGCTTATTAAATCGATTTCAGAGTCTACTAATATGTAGACAATTTTTCTACCCGGCGAATTGTGGTTTTACTCCCGACGGCTATTAGGCTTAAGGCATGGAATAAAACACGAAAAGCTTTTATATTTGCTTGGAAAGTTTGGCAACATTACTAACTTTAATCTTCAAATTATTTAGAGTATTAAAAGAAAGAGGAATAAATAACTGCACGATTCCAGTAATCATTCTTTCTATTCAAAAATCTAGGCCTATGTTATTTTATATGCCGTGGGCTAAGACCTGATTAGATGGTATTCCTGATGGACCAAATGCGATCCGAACAGACTTCACACAAATTGACATAGTCCCGCTGTTCCAAAAAGCGGTGACATGATGCGGCCTACATATTATTCTCATGACGATTTTATACTTAATTATAGCGTAGGCCTAAATTCAGGACAAAATGTAAACTTTAAAAAAAAAATGAATGTTTCTGTGTTTCCGGGTTACAACAAATTACGGAAAACAGTAACTAGGTCTATGTGATCAAAGTACTGGTGCTAAGACGTATTTAAGTCAGTAGCCATGGAAATCTGTATGCCACGCGCTTTTCTATAAAATTGTAGTCTTTTGGTTGGTTGAATACGGCGGAATAACAGTTCGTTTTTCGACATTGACAAATTACCGCTAATCAGGTTAATATTGACTTATTGCCTGCATCAGTTGTGAATTGTGCATATTATTTGATTTTTCATTTTCGTGGTGACGTCGGAGTGGTTCCCATGACGTTAATACATCAAGTTTTTTTTTAACCGGTAGGGTATTTATAAACATCTTAACAACATATTTTTCACGTACAAGCCGACCTACAATGCCGTTTATTGAAAAATCGAATACAATCGGTGGTTAATTATTTGATGTCATATCCTTCTGATCGAATTCTACATTCGTATCATATGGAATTGACCTAGTCCTACTTAGGCCCACTGTGGATTATAACTTTATAATGTGGAGTATGTATCAAAATAATCAAATTCTAGTTTGAAGCTTAAATTATCCAGTGTAGCATGAATTATTTTTGTCTTGACCAACGTTAATTTCCCAGTGGACCGAGGTTTCTAATGACTGTTCGCTCATAGTAGAAAAAGTTGTTAGCCCTACTACAGAATATTGTAAGCCCTATATAATTTTTGTCATTGCGATCGCCTGTGTCCACAAAAGTAAATACTCGTAGTGGAGTATATCACTATGTGCAATTCATGGAATTCAACAAACCTTTGGTTGGTCAGGGGCTCAAAACCCTCGCCGTGCAAGCTATAGGCCTACTTGTGTGTTTGGGCAAGACACTTCATATACGTGTATCACTTTCGCTCTCTCCATGGGTATAGATAGGTAGGCCTACCAGCATTTACTGGAATTCATTTATTGTTTGGCAGGAGTGGAGAATCACTCCTCACCCCCACCCCAAACACACACAATTAAGCACAGTCTGGCTCCAACGTCAGACCCTACGCTCTGGCCTTTGAGCCCCGATCTCCAGTTATCCTCTGGGAAGTGTCCAGGACTTTCACCATTGCTGTTCTTTTCCCGAAAACTCAAATGTGCAATTCATGTTTGATTAAATATTAGCATGGAATCTCTTAATTTTATGATAACCATTCAAGTTTTCAGGAAAAGAAACAGCGATTGTTGCAAATACAAACTGTCCAGACGATAACTAGGCCTACAGTCAGCTCTTCAGTATGATAGGCTTACACTTTTCCCGCAAAAGTAAATACAATCCGGTGCGATATTTGCTTTTCAACGATTTTTTTTGTTTGTTTTTGTTTAATACTCTATTCTCTAGAGCAGTAAAGAATATAATCAAAGGACATTGAGCATAATCGAACAAAATAAATTACTATTGTGGAGTATTGCTAGTATGACGTAACGGTGACAATATCGATGCTAAAGAGGTTGAGGTATTGATTATTTTCAATTGTTGAATAAAGCATCTTGGCAATGATGATTGTTATATTCATTGTAATTTCCTCTAACCAGCTGTTTCGTTTTATCTTCGCTAGATTATCGTTCGCTTGCTTCATAATACTTCTCTCTGACGGCATACTTCCTCGTCTCATGTTCGGATCATAATATACATAATATACAGTATGTTTTTTTGTATAAAAATTTTATAAATATTTAAACCATAATCTCTTTTATAGACTAGAGATGAAATCTTAATATTGAATAAATATGCCTCAAAAAAAAAAAATCGTGCAAATGAATTGGACGTATACGTCATTAAATTGCTTCATAAATTGTCATAATTGCAGTTGTTGTCTAAAAGCGACGATTGACCTTCAATACAGTTCACTTCTCCATTTAATGGCTGTAACTCCTCATGCAGGCCTAATGATTCTAAAGACTGATGGTTCTTCTTACAAGTCTGTACTGATGCGAGGGCTTTGGAAGCTTCGGCAGCTGCCGCTAGTTCATGTTTGAGGTGCGGGTTACCTAGACGCATGCTCTTTTCCCTAAGTATCTCAAGTTGCATATACAGTCTCCGTAATTCGACCTATTTATTAAAAGATTGAAAGAAAACTGTTAATACATAATTTAGACCTATATTTTGACATTGGGTTACTTAATAACATCACTAATATTTATATCAACATTTACAACTACCATATAGGTCATTACGTCATCACCATCATCATTCAGATTACTCATCCATTATCATTGTATTCAACATCATGTCGTCGTCATCATCATCATCATTATCATCATCATCATTATCATCATCATCATCATCATCATCATCATCACCATCAACCCCACCATCATCGTCAATATCTTCATCTTCACAACGTAACCATCTCAATAAACAGGATGTTAGTATACTTCCATCATAGATATTTTCATTAACCTTCAAGACCTAAAAAGTGTCTCCTAAACATGGTACCGTATGACCTTTTCCCTCGATTCGCGGCCATGAAAATGTTCCCTTAATAGGGGCTTCCTCCCAAAGGATAGGTTCTATTTAACCGTACCTGTATATCCGATTTCTCCATGTTATCAGTTCTACTTGTAGGTGCTACCGATGATGGATAACCACGAGGAAGTCGTGACCACGAAACGTCGCCAACGCTCGCCCTGTGATGACTTATCTGCGTCATTGTTGTCTTGAATTTCGTATCGATCACATCCCCCTTCCCTTTATAGACCATATAGATCTGAAGAAACATACACACACGTGAGCGGAGTCATTCAAACAGCAATATTCAAACGGATATATTTCAGCTGTCCAAATCAATCTACGTTCTACTCATTTATCGTGACAGAATTTTACGAGACTCAAAATATATTTTAACAAAAATATTTTTATATGCTGTATTATATATCTAACATAACATATAACAGTTTTTGCCAGCGCACTAAATTTGGTGAAAATATGTTGATAGCACAATAAAAGGTATCATATAATATCGTTTTAAGTTTAAGTTGATTAAATTATAATCGTGGCTTTTTGATGCGGCTCGAAGTTGCATTGCATCACAGAAAAAGCAAAACAAAAGAGATAGGGAACTCAGGATATTTCTTTATAACAGATAAATTAGGGTGAATGCGGGTTCTCTAATAAACACGGGAGACCATGCCTCTTAACTTAGTAAAGAATGATAATTTGCACGTAACTCCCTAGCCATGAAATTAGATTCGGGATATCTAACAAGTTAATTATTCACGAACATTTAAACAATGGACGTTCACGTCAATACGGATATATTAAAACACAGTTTCCATGAAATTGCTACCACATCAACTGTCGGTGACGCTTCGTAGCGCCTTCCTGATTCCGTCGAAACAGCTACGCAGTGTAGCCATTGCAGTGAAAACACTGTAGCAATTTTATGAAAACCAGGATTAAAGTTATATTGTACGTGGTAAAATTTAGAAAGCCGCTCAATAATTATTAAACGAAAAAGTTTAAATTGCTCATTAAAATTCTTCAAAAATTGAAGTAGCTCTTTTACAGACTTCTATTAACATCTTTAAATTGATTTTCAAGTAATCATTGGCTCATGCAAGTAACTGTGATATTTTCTCTCTCTCTCTCTCTCTCTGAGTATAGCGACGTAAAACTGTAAAGTGATGTTCATATTGACAATGATGTGTTTTCGATAGGCCTAATTACTCAGATCTATATCAATCAATTAATCAGGAATTCACTCCATTTATAAGGCGCCGTTCCACTACTGCGCCGTTCAAAAAAGATTATGAAAATAAGTGCATCTTCAGTAGCGAATTCCATTCGTCTATAGCGCATTCCGCAAAAAGCCTCATGAAAATAGAAAGAACACAACACACAAAACAAAGTCAAACAGTACGGAAATTCAATGTAAAGAAAATTTTGGAATGAAACTAATTTTCTTCTTTAAACATAAAATTGTCGAATGAATCCAAGTGTGTATTTGTTCACATAATATTCTCAACCAAAATTTAAAAAAATATTGTTGTCAAATTGTATTGAAAGAGTAGGCCAATTAAAGAGTGCCTTGGAAATTATCTAGAGAGTAAACTGCTAATTCTCGATATTGTCTGCTGAATTATTTGACATAAAAGTACGCTGTATACCAACAAAAAAAAAATAAATAAAAAATAAATAAATTGTAGGCTCCCCGAAGGAGCGTGTGTCTTTAGCTTGACATAAGTTTTTTTTAGGCTACTTTAACTCATCACCCATCCACGCTCTCTGTGTTGGCAATTCACTTGAATAACCGTTAGCCTCAAGATTGTTGACTTATAGTTCTTTCTAGGTCTTATCTAGGCATGGGCATCGAATTTCGTAGGCTTCTGCTGGAAGGCTGTTCATTTTATCTTTAGCTTATGACTCATCCCATCATTCCTCTAACCGGATTTACTCTTAGGGCCTACAAGTGAGACGATAGTTAAATGTCTCAGCCCCCCCCCCCCCCACACAGTATCATAATGGGCCTTTCCGAAATGTCAGTCAATCTTAACAAGTGACCAATCACATTAAGGCCAGGATTACACGCATGTGCTACTAAAACATGTATATTTATAAAGTACGTTTACTCTGTGGTTTTGTCGGACCTTGCAAAAATATCCCAAAAGTGCGGCTTAGTTGAAAGATCATTGAAATAAAAACATGTTTACAAGTAATAAACCACATGATTTGTGTAATAGCAAAAGACAAAAAAATACATCATTAAAAAAAAAGAATTAACAACGTGTCAATGGTAAATAGAATGTGATTTGAAGCTTGGCATTTGGACAATGTAACGGGAATGTAGCAAAACATAACAGATTAGCTTCAGAGTACTCATCAATTATGATGTTAGATTAGCCCACGCTTTCTTCGATTGATTTATGCCGTTTGCACAAATACCAGGGTATACAGCCTTAATATCGGCAATGGTTCAAGACCCTCCTCACCCATGGGTTGAATTGACGGCCAGATCTTCCCGAAAAAGAACTTCTACCGGAGGTCCGATGTAAGCCTAACTGTTTCGTATGCACTCTAAATAACACATCGCATCTTTCGAAAGAGTATGAGGTTACCCCGATGCACTGGTTAATTTTAGCCCTTGACGTTGTGAATAGTAATACAGTATCCATTATGTTTATGCTGTCGTAACAAAAGTTCGTTGAAGGTACAGAACTATATATAACGTACCTCCTTTACACCTGTAACTATGCATAAGAACATCTATTCATCACAATACAGCTGTTAGCGATACTATCTGCTTTCTAGTGATGCGCTATTGGCAATGAAACATTAATCTTGAGCAAATCTTGACGAAGCGCTTGGTATCGAAGTGGCCATTGATGAGTAAGCCATGAGTATGTATTCTACGATTGCTAATTACGACATCTGTCCGCTCTGATAGTTAATTTGATCTCTGCTTTAACTGTTGAATTATAGTGATTTGTTAGACCTACCGTCAAATTTGTGTTTTTAGATCGCACACTTCAGTATGACACTCTAGCAATTATTGTAAATAGGTCGACAGATACACAATGTGTGTACATACAATAATGACTAGACAAAATATTTGTATGAAATATTATTAACGTTGACATATACATAAGAAAATAAAAGTAGTATAAAAAAAAACATATACAAATAACTTACAATGCGATTCCGGAAAATACAGACAGTAACGTTTCGTTGTAAATAGCCCAACTTATAAAACGACTTTCGTTGAATTCCGAGGGCGCTTTTCTTACGTTGTAACACAAACGTACACCCCAGAGCAGGAACAGCAGCTCAGCTATTAAAGATGGAGGACGGGAACATAAAAATATAAGTACTGTTTATTCATAATTCAAACAGCTGTCTTTATTTATTTATTTATATTTCTCTGATGAGTTGGAATGTGATGAATTTGACATACTCATATCAACTGTCAAGAGTTTTTCTGAAGTATAATATAAAAAATGTCATGAACATGAAGATTATGATAAGAGATATACGATAAGATTTATTGTTTCACTCGTTTATAAAAGGGTAAGGAGAGGATCGACTAATACAAAATTTAGTAAGCAAATACAGAAATACAGATACATAAAAGTTACAATTATTAAAATATAAAACATAATGAAGGAGCTGATTATTATTATTATTGTTATTATATTATTATTGTTAGTGATGATGATGAAGATGATGATGGTGTTATAGTTCATGATGATGGTGATTAAGGGGTGGGGGATGATGAGGAATTGAAATGAGGAGATCATTAATAATAATAATAATAATAATATTGATAATAATAATAATAATAATAATAATAATAATAATAATAATAAGTAACATTTATAAAGCGCTCTACGCCAGCAAGCCGACACCAGTGCGCATGCAATCAATCATATTTAAACAATATAGTAACACGTCATAATAACAGGGAAATTCATCCAACAATATACAATACTAATTCTAAAAAACATATTTATAATATTTATCATTCAATATAAAAATTATTTACCAGAAAAGTCAAGTTATAATAATTTCAATTGGTTACAATCATTCAATTAATTTACTTTATTTACATTAATTTATTATTACAAAAATATATTATTACAAAAAGATAGTATATGGTTTATCGGACAATATAGAAAAGACAACTATTAACAATATTAATAAAAAAAAACATAATATATAGAACATTTTTACAAAAAAAAAATTTCCAATTACATCATTATCTAAAAATTAATCATTGATTATTATAAATATATATTACCTGTAAGATATCTGAATTTACAATTTAAAAAGGTAAGTTTTTAATCTAGATTTAAGATCATTCCATTCCTTAGGTGCTGCAATGGAATATGCTCTGTCACCATTATGTAGTTTTAGTGACACGAGCAGCTTGCGGGATTTGAAGCAGTCCACTAGAGTTTGATCCCAAGGTGCGTGAAGGTGTATAAGCTAAATTATTGTAATTTCTTTGCTCAGCAAATGTTCAGTGTATGGAAGCCCTGCGAGAAAATTCCACACTATCTCGGTGCTTTAGCACCCCTTTGTGAAGGTTAATGGTTTTATTATTATATTAATGCCTAAGTATTTACGGTAGGTATGGCAATTAGTATGCTCTTCTTCATGTACTATTGAAAAATACTAATTAAGTATAATTTGTGTGCTAAATTATTACTGTGACCAGATTTCAATTACTTAGTAAAGTTATTTTTGATTGTTTCTGTGTCGCCGAAATGAATACCGGTAAATAATCATAAGTAAAATTTAATATTTTTGTCCATCATAATGAGAATTTAAAAACGTATTGATGAGTGTATACATATAGAATATATAAGTTTAAATTTATTTTATAGGTATTAATACACCTGCGTAGTTGTAATTGGTGTTTTGAAAGCATCTTTTAAAAAAAAGTAACGCAAAGTTGTCTACATTAAGTTGGTGATGACAAATAAATGATGATGACGATAAAGATAATAATGATAACATAATTATTCAAAAGGTGTGATTACCTAGAGTGCCTGCATGATCCCACCAATCGCTGGAGCACTGCATTGATTTGACACCGCTCATTGACTGCACAGTGATAACTTTGGGTGGAGATATTGCGGTGCGCGCCACCAAGTAGCCAATAAAAACGATTTGTATGACGCATAGTCGTTTGATTAAATCTGCATCTGTAATGCGAACACGTAGCGCAGATTGAACCTTGAAAACAACAGCGATCCTGTAAAATTAAGATGTTTACAGTTTGAAAAAAGTAAAAAGTTCTATTTTTTCACGTAATTAGTCTTGTGAGTGGTGGCGCCAGTGGAAGACGGGGTGGAGGCCTGCGTCAGGGAGAGGTACCCCCCCCCCTTCTCCGCCCAACACCGTTGGTGAGCTCAACAAGCTTCACCGGGGAGAAAAATAAACTCTTTGTAATTTTTAGAATCTAAAATCAATTGAGTAAGCCTTTAAAATCCAAAAACGGTCGAAACTTCCGGGTTTTGCCTCCATAACCACTTTCTGACTAGCCGGCCCAGATTGGGACGGATCCTTGCTCCATAGATGAGGGCAGTTATGTTACATTCAACATGATTTTAAACAATGCAATATATATTATAGTAAAACTTTAAGTGAGTGCTGAATCAAGATACAGATGATTTATGATCGCTTCGACAATTACATTTAATGTAGGACTATGTCTGCCATTGTAAACTGTGGCCCTACTTCACTGAGCCTGATTAAATGAAAAATTGCACTCATTAATTTTTTTAATGCTGTGAAAAATACAAACAGATTTCAATTATCCAAATAAATTATAAAATGAACATGATGTAGGACGGTTGCATTATTTTTAAATATTTCTATTAATACTTTTACATATGTTGCGTGGAAATAGATACGTTTGAATTTAAATATGAATTATTACCTCCATGTTTTGAGAAGTAGCGCGCCATAAGAAGTGGCGAAGCCGACCACCTGAAACCATTTCTGTAGAATGCACTTTGTAGATGTAAGTTCACTATAGCCTGCCAATACCTGTTTCGAACAAAGTCATTGATACGTGAATCGACAAGGCCTATATAATCTAGTAATAGTGCTTTGTGAATATTTGTACGCAGAATGATATTCCTGAATTAACAGTAGTACTGATGGATTGATGGTATTGCTTCACACAATAGTCCTGAGACAACCATAATCATACCAACTCATATGGTACCGGTAGTATATGCGTAATAGTGACGCCATTCCTATAGTTTTTATAAGATTTTTTTCTTAAATTATACGTTCTTAAGATGATGATGATGATGATGATGATGATGATGATGATGATGATGATGATGATGATGATGATAATGATGATGATGATGATAATCATCATCATCATCATCATCATCATTATCATCATCATCATCATCATCATCATCATCATTATTATATTTATATGTTAATTATTGGTATCACTTACCCGGCAATAAAGAAGTAATGAACCAAACAATATAATTCTCAGCAGCATTGGACTAGCTGCCTTTACAACCTGTAAACAATACATAACTTATCGTTATTTCTTGCCACATCAATTTCATTGCCAGCTGAAAAATATAAATTGTTTTTGCGACTTGTTTAAGCCATGCTTATTCATACAAAATCCGTGGCTTAGACTCGAAGTCTTGAAATCAAATTATCGGGGTTTTTTTTTTACAAGTCGACGTCATTATAAGTAGGCAACATCCTTCTTTGCAGTGGCCAAATATCCAGAACTATTATCCCTCCCTACTGATTGGCTGCGATGCTGCGCTGCACCTAACCTCATTTGCATAATGCACTTGCGTCCCGTTGTACGTAACCACTATAAAACGTGAGCTGTGGCCGGCTGAACGCGTGTCTCTAGTGAGATGATAGTGTTTCATTAAATAAAAGGCTCTATGCAGGGGCATGTTTTTTATTTTCACGTAAAAATGAGTCGTAGATTCCAAACAAATTTTGGTCTCAGTAGTCGACGAAATTTCCGGGCGCGGTTAAATCAAGTCTGAAAGCAAACATTTACAAGCGATGCGGGCCTAGCGTTTTTGAATTGGAATGTTAAAATCCTGCTATAAGGCAGTATTCTTCTATATTATTGAAAAGTTTGTTACGATTGGGCCTACTTATTTCATTCTTTAACGACTGTCTAAACTTCGATTTTGCAAATAAACGTCGACGGAATAATGGTACATTGGCTCACGTGGGTAGACATGATGTGGCTAGTCAACTGTTATATTAATAAAAAGTTTGTCAGACGAGGTAAATCGGAAGAGTAAGTAGAGCTGTGAGTGTTGACCTAAAATATAGGACTAATGCAGACAATCGACTTGTACGTGTTCGCGAATTATGACGTAGTCACAACGATGACGGTGATTGCGTTATGTTTTTTTTTTTATTATTATTATACTGTATGCCCCTTTAACAACATGTTTACCTGCGCTGATTCCTGCGCTGATTTGCTAATGCCAAATGTGTTGGCTATACTAAATATTATGCTGCGTTTTCGTGTATTCCCTGAGCACGCATTTTTTTAGTTCGGTTTGTGTTTGCTTTAACTCTAAATTGCTGTCCTTAATACAACTTGTCAATCTGCGGATAAGAACGTAAGCTAAAATGTCGTAATTTCAATATCCGCAAACATTATTTAGATCAGTATCAGCTTTATCTATTACTGATTATTCATATCCAATGTACTTGTGAAGTGTGTTTACTTCGTTTGCTAGTTCACAGATTCACATCATTCGATAGTAGGCCTACTATGCAGTATAGTAAGCAGAAAGACAGCCTAAAGGCGTTGCTCTGAATGCATACCTAATAGCCCTAAGGCCTAAAACAGAAAATAAATACAAATACATAGGCCTACATCATTTGCGAGAATATGCTAAAAAATTAAGTAAATAAATGAATAAATAATAATAGGGCCTAGTAATAATAATAATAATAATAATATTAGGCCTAATAATAAATATTTATAATAATAATAATAATAATAATAATAATAATAATAATAATAAATAATAATAATAATAATAATTAATAATAATAATATTAATAATAATAATAATAATAATAATAATAATAATAATAATAATAATAATAATAATAATAACATCACATCATGACCATATATAGCCACATCATGATTATACATGGCCATAAAACGATCTAAATAAAACGATAATCTGAACAGAGCTTACTCTGCGTGTCAGCTGATACGATAAATGATGAATGTTACAGGTACTGTTTAGCCTTGTGTCTATTGACTGACATTATTTATTATTAGATATTTGTCATTAGCTTGTCTTCTATTGTAGGATAATTTGCTCATTATGTAAATTGATCAGCCGTATTACTCCGAACACGAGCTTGATCGACAAATAAATCAAGTTATAATAGGCCTATAGTAAGAAAGATGTTTTGCCCTATACGACTTTTTATCGTACTGAATGCTGAGTACATACGCTAAAAAACTGGGATTCGGGTGGGAATCGAAACCACGATGATCATCGGAATAGCTTTGCAGATTCAACACTAGCCACTAAGCGGAAGTTCGGTGGTATAGTGGTTATGACACCATGGTAGTTACCTGGCGGTCGTGAGTTCGATTCCTACCCGAATCACTTGCAAGATATTCATCGCAAGTATTTGGGAACGTACTGAACGATAACACGTCGTGTAGGGAAAAACACCTTCCCTATTAAATTTCCTGATACAAAACATCATCGAAAAGGGCCTATATTAATTTCCATTAATATTTAATAGGCCTATTATTATGTTGAGATCTTTGTCATTGGTGCCATGAATAATTGTGTATTTGCTTTGTGTTGCAGGTATCGTTATAAATAATGCAACTTATATATTGTTTACATTACCTTAAGGTTTCTGTTGGCTATAGTAAAATAGAACAATGCAAATAGGCCAGTAATCGCAATACAATCAACGGCTAGAAGAGTGTTCCTCAGGGCCCAGTTGTAAGAAAATATACAGGGTTGATCATTCGTACATTCGTCACATCCTTGGCCGCATGGTAAGCAGTTTAGCTGCATGTACACGTTATTTAGTCCCCAGGCATATTTTCGAAACTCCTCCTCTATATCTGACCCATTATAGAAGCGTTCTTCCGCAGTCTCATTCGGGAAATAGAAACCCTTATTACAAATGCAAACGTATGAGCCTCGTCGGAAACCTCTTCCAGGGACAAATTTGCACTGAAAAAAAAATATCCAACTTTCAATCATTTTTATCTGTGTTTAACTAGGCCTCATAGTTTGGTGGTCAAGATTTTCTCAAGAATACATTGAAATCATATGCGCTACCTACAAAGCCTTAAAATGAGAATGTAATTGTACGCAATGGCTTTGTTTGTTTTCGAATACGAGGTACCATTAGGTAGCCTACAGAGAGGGAAAGATTAACGCCACCCCTCACCCACACAACATACAAGTGAAGCCCACCTCAACGGTCACGACTAGTTGGACCTAAAAAGGGATATATTGCCCTTGAAAAAATGTGGCATTGTACGTGCTAAAACGAATCATAAAAGCCTAATGTTGCCGAGGATTGCTGAAGAAGCCACTGGCCCCTTAAGTCCACGGCATAATGCCACCACTGATAGAGGCTTTGCAGATTGAAGGAGGAACTTTTGGCTGGAAATGGTAATTCATTTATCATCCCATAACATAAAATGTGAATGATACATAGCCAAAACGCACACTTTATAAACGCTGCATTCTAATTTGTATTGAAACTTTTGTATATTATATACTATCATCATCTTTTTCACCATTATCATCGTCATCATCATCTTCTCCATCTATCATATTACATCATATTGATTATGATGACTTTGTTGCCATGAACCAGTCTTACCATATTGTGTGTAATAATAATAATAGTGATAATAATAATAATAATAATAATAATAGTGATAAGAATAATAATAATAATAATAATAATAATAAATATCTCAAATTTATATTTAGCCAATTACAAACAAGATCAAAGGCCCAACGCATGTGAATAGCCACCGTGACTTAAAGTTGCAAATAGAGTTGGAAGAAGTTATGTTATTTGGTAGCTGGTTCTAAAAAATGGCAGAAGTATAAGTTAAAGAACATTCACCGTAGATTTTGGTACCGTATTTGGTGACAGAAAGAAGGTTTTGACAGGATGATCGGAGACAGCGAGATGGAGTATATGTGGAAAACAATGAACGCAAACGTGTAGTAGTGGCGAACTTATGGGGACAGGTCGTGAACGGAGGTGCAATCTTCCCTAAACAATGTTCTCGGCCCTCCTAAACCCGAAACTACAAATTTGCTGAGAAATGCAAGTAATAACCTCAAATTACATCATTTCATAACCTAAGATCCTATCAATTTTCAAATACATCTTACTCCTAAATATGCCTCCGATTGAGGGGATCTACAACGTTCAACAAAAACCGGTAGAATAATTAGCTCAATCAAGAAAACTGGTCGACATAGTAATTTCTTTTTTCACGTGCAAATAGGTAATACAAAAAGAATGAAGAAATAAATATACTGTTTATTTATTTTGGTTCTATTTAACAGGTCGCTTGAACTAATCACTAGCTAAGTTTCAACTCAATGCCTTTTATTCAGTTCAATAACGGTATCTGTGAAATTTTAAACCTTGAAATTTTGTATTACTCCACGGTAATTGCGAATGTCTATTTTTAACATTGTTGTTGTTCGTACAGCTGCCTAGTATTATTATTTTGAAATAAATTCATTTGGATCCAAATATAATTTGTATAAAATTTTTCATTAGTGTTGATCCAGCAAAATAAAAAACAATAGTACTCACACTACGTTTCGCGAACGATCCGACACATTCTATCACATATCTATGATGATATCATATTGAACCACAACACTAAGAGGGGGAGGGGGTGCTCGTCGACGACGCAGCGATGCACTTCGACCTCAACAACACCGAGGTGACGTCCGACCAGACTGGAAATAACATCACCAGTCTACTTGAAAAAGCGAACGGATCGTTCGCGAAACGTAGTGTGATACTATTGTTTTTTATTTTGCTGGATCAACACTAATGAAAAATTTCATACAAAATAGTATTATGTTTTTAATAAATATTATATTTTTAGGTTTTTAACCTTGGAAAACAACTTTAATTTAATTTAAATTGTATTTGACAATAAATTGAACTTGAACATGAGTGTGTGGCTGAAATTGGTCAAACAATACAACATTCTCCTAAATTAAGATTTGTATGTACAGCACGAAGCCTGGTTATATCATGGTTATATAGGTAACAGATATTAACAACAAAAGACATTAATAACTATTCTTTGAAGGTTTTTAATTTGCCGGTGATTTTAGACACTCGTTTCTCGACGGATAAATACTTTATTATTGATTAAAAATCACGGATGATTGAACTATAAATCTTAGACAAGTCTACAAGTCTCTAAAATATATTCAAACATGTCTTATCGACCTAACAGCAAACCTGATTTCCTTTAAGTATTTGACCTATTGGCCTGAACTGGATTTAAGACCAATCATTTATGTCTTTGTTAATCTCTTCTTCAGTGCAAAGTAATATGTTGATGTTTTGTGCAATAATCATATATATCATGACGAAGAATGATTGTAAGCGCATGTGCTACTGTTAACGCGACTATTAAGTAGGCATAACTGCTATTTGGTTGTCTTTTCATATCAATCAATAATTAATTGTTATGATTAGATTTTTCAATCAAGCTCTAAAGTGAGTATTGCAATTGCTTTTGTGGTCCAATTTCAGAATTTATAAGGGAGCTTATGCCTTGCGTCACAACGCAACATTAGGCCTAATGTCATTTTGGCGAGTTGTGTTGCATCTGCCGTAGCAATACAGAGCAATGCATCATTTATTTCGTTAACTATGGAACATACTACACGTACACAATAATACAACTTACCGTTTGTGTTTTACGGTGGCATTTATCTGAACCCGCAAAAACGTTGTCAACTTCCGTGTCACTGGCATTTTCACCAACTGGGCATTGGTCAATATCAATGTCCCTTAGATCAATATCTATGCCACTTGTCCCTCTAAATATACATATTTAAAAAAAACATACATTTCTATGTTGAGTTCATAATAATAAACAACAATTCACTTTGATTGTATTAAAATAAAATTAAAATAATGAAATATTGTCCTAACAATTTAATCAGATGCATGAAATAAAACCAAACTGTGCCGATAGTCTTTATACATACCGCTCCTGCGGTACCGGTAATCAATTTAGGGGAACTGTATATTAAAACAATTCAGTAAATCATTGAAAAATTGTTTCAAACTGTATCTTATTGAAAGTTAATATATCCTTAGATTTCTTTTAATAGACCTAGAAGCTAATATATATTTAATTGAATTGACCGTTTTTCCCAATTGGATCACAGACCGTTAACATATATTTCAATAGCATAAAACACTTTGTTTTTTCGAAATTACAACGTAACTTTACAAGTCACAATTTGCTGAAATTAGATCCGCCTACTTTAAAGTGCGCATGCGTAGTTGTGTACAAACCTGTTCTTACACTGTGTTCTGTAAAACCAAGAAGTGTGCACGTACCCTTTGGTGAAGCTATCTAGTGAACCCTTCTCCCCTTGGATGTTTTTGCTAAGGTCCCATAAACGACAGCGTAAAACATGTGTAGATACGCGTGTTTTGTGGAAGGGCCCATTTAAATATCTCTCCTTACATCATACGTTGTAATTTAGAAAACTCCCTAATATTAACAAGAACAACACAACTGTAACAATGCGACGTAAGGTCGTAATAACATTTTTAAAAGTATTACTTAAAGAAATATGTTCCATTTTCTGCCATTCCTAGAAATGGGATTGTATACGTCATCATCCAAATGTATCCTCCACCGCAGTCGAAATATGGTGGGGACCAATGGCCGTCCTCGTAACGAACCATAATGTACTCATCTAAGTACGTCTCCTGGTGTGCAGTATCGTTGAAACGAAATGCAAACTCGACTACAAAGGGAGAAAAGAAAAAAGTATAAAATAATGAATGATCGCATCCTCATAGTGTAGTGATTATTCATCTAAAGTCTGGAGAAGACATTAAACTTCAAAATTCAATAAAACTCTTGTTATTGGCCTAGATAAAATCGCACAAAGAAGATACAGTTCGACAGACAATGGGTAACCCCCAGAT